TGCTGAAGAGCGTATGACACCACAAGTTGAGTTCAGACCCCAATAAATAAAAGTCTTAATCAAGTCACTCAAGATATTACATCAACTTCAGTTTGGTTTCCACCCACTGAGCTCCACAAGCCACCCCTCAACAGGGCAAGAAAACATTTCAGCTACTTCCACTTCTATCCAGCCTACACTTTATGACTAACACAGAGTCACTAATGCAGAGGTTGATGGGAAATCACTAGTCTGAAAGCAGCTGATATAAAAACCAGCAAATTAATATCAATGAGTGAGTCAGACTTCAGGAAGGAAAGAATAAGGTAAGAGAATAAGTGTCTATTTAGATGTTTTTTAGCATGAAGAATTAAAATGAACTTAATCAAGGTTCAGAATTATGAAGGATGTTACTCATGCAATAACATCACCCAACAGAAAAGAGAAGGAAGCTCATGGAATTCACTGCTCCACCATGTATGAGCAGTCATCCTACATCTGGACAACTTAATAAGCAAAGTGACACAGGTAGACACAACAACAACATCAAATCCTATGTTTGAGGTTCAAATGCTTTCTATCAAGGGCACAAAACACACCCTCCAGCCAACTGTACACAGGGACTTCTTTCCTCTGACTCACATATGAACCACAGCTATAGAACTTGGTGAACCAGTGGGTTGACCCAGGTAGGAAGTCCTAAATTCCTACATAAATCAAAGGAAACAAAATGCACAAAGCAGTTAAACAGGGTTTGGAAAGATTGCCTGATGTTTATTCTGCTGTCATGCTGACCAAACTGGCCAAGGAGTCTTTCCTCCAAGTACTGTGGCATGGGTTTTTCAGAGCTGAACAGGAAGTTAAGAGACATACCAGTATCAAAATAGACAGTTCAAGACCGACCTCCCTTCTGCCTTAAAGGTTCTATGCAAGTTTGTTTGGTTTTTGAGGGTTTTTTTTATATGCCAGTACATTTGAACAGCACATGAGTAACAAAATGCAAGAGAGGAAAGTCAAGAGGTAGCAACTCATCATACTTACATAACTGTATTGTCATCAACTAAGATATCACAGCCATGAGCAGGGCATGAAATGGTCTGGAAAAAAACAAAAAGGTCATAACAGGAACAGCATTCATACTATTTTTGCATCACAAAGAATTCCAAGGCAATAGACTTCACTACAATCCAGAGCAAAAATAGTACATTGGTTCTATCACCACATCTCAGATGTGCCACTGTGCAGAGCACAATTCCTGCTACCCAGAACAAAGACACATGCACCAAACTCCACGTAGTTCCCTTCAGCTTCACCTCTGCCAAAAACTGGTTTGGTTTTTTTGTTTGTTTTTATTTTGAGTTTTGGTTTGTGGTTTTTGTTTGTTTTAACTTTGGTAGGGAAAAATTCTCCCCTTCCTCTCCAATACAAAGAATTTCCAGAAATAAGTCATATGTTGCCATTTTACCTGTCCCATGCCTTCCTCCATTATTTTGGTAGTTAAATATTCACTCCAACACTGCATACAGAACTTGTGTCCACACTCTAGGCCAGTAAAGTACTGCAATGACAAAGAACACAAGACATTGAATCATTTTTCACATTGATTCACTCGATCATGTCGCCGTTCCCGATGCTGCACCGTTTATCACATCTCATCCCCGTTCCCACCCCCCGCCAAACTTGAGATGCTATTATTTATTTGACATCATAACCACTACGGAACATTGCTAATGCAGCTTTAGTCATGCTTTCAAAGCCAGACTTTAATCCCCAGCCCTAGCAGCAAGGAAAGGTGTGGCTGACATTTCCATCCTGCCTGCCTATTTAAATTGATCCTCATCTTAGGAGTACATACAGAGTATAGCATGCCTCCCCACTGTTTAACTCTTGCAAATGAGTAAAATAAATGCAACACCATCAAACAGGTTATAGTTAAAAGATGATACAGAGTCTTCTTTCCTTCTATTTTCCCCACTTGCTACCACATGTGGGTGCTGCCCAGAAGTCCCAGAATACGCACACCAGCTACACACAGGCACTGATTTAGCTCCCTCTTCTATAGAAACTAACTCCGCATTACCGGGTGAGCACTAAACAACAGAAAAAAGAATTGTGTGCGCTTATGCTTTCAACACATACTCATGAAGTTTGCCAACTTGCTTGGTAAGCTTCCTCCCGAGACACAGATGAAGACATCATCAGATGAAGACATTAAAGAACCTAATTGGCAGGTGTAAATTACTAAATAAAATTCAATAATGATTAGCTGTTGCAGACAGCAACAAGGATAACTTCACTTGAGTATGCATCATCTACACTGAATATGTCATGATTCCATCTGGGATTGAATGGTTACACAAGGAGTGGAGAAGCAAACATTGCTCAGCAAAGACTGAAATTAAGTTACTTTTCTCAGGTCATCTCAAAGTTACTTTATACCCAGAGCCAATGGCAAGGATAAACTCTATTTAAAACAGTTCACTTGTACTGCTGTGCAGATTAGTATTTGATAGCTTAGCTTTTCAAATCATCATCTTCTCAGCCAGTGAGATAAAACAAGAGCCCTACCCTGAGATATCATCAACTTGTATGAAACCCCATAAATTAAAGAAATCTGGTATCTTCTGTGGAACAGCCCAAAACAGCATGAGGCTTATTAATTATAAGAAAAGGAGAGAGTCCATTTTAAGAAAACAATGTTCTACCAAAAACACTTTCTCAACCATTAGAGACAGTATTACCACCACCACATTGCCCATTTTCTTCATCAGACACGGGCGTATTAACTAGGTTACACTGGTCTTTTGAAGCTACAGCACTCGGATTGCACAGGGAAGGTGCCTCTTAGCACGTTCTTCCCACAGCCTTGTTGTTTTGTGATTCAGGCTCATCTGGCACTCCTGCCATCAACAAGGGCACAGGTTTGAACCTGAGGCTTGGAAACATGCTGTGATGTCGCAGCCAGCAGGTTTGACTCTGCCTGCCGTTCCCACAGCCCTGCCAGAGAGCACTCACCAAGAGCAGCAAGGTGGTTAAATCTGACCTGACCAGTCAGCGAGGAGACAAGTGAGCTGAGTATCTGACTCCATTCCAAATAAAAACAGAGATACCTACCCAAACCTTTGCTTTCTTTGGAAAAAAAAATCCAAGCAGTGTGTCCTGTCAACACCATAGCTCAAGGAGAGAAGAGGCAGATGGCTATGAGGCCAAAATATACCAACTCCAAGACTAAAAAATAAATCACTTCCAGTTTTTGAACCATTAGTGAGCCAGCTAACAAGAGATCTGATGCTCCACAGATGGTGCTGTGGCCAAGTGATGTCTCCTGGATATGCAGGGTGATGGTAGAAAAGCCCCAACATCTGTAACTTTCAGGAAGCCAACAGCACATAGCCTGAAGATGGCACTGACTTTTCCAAGAACTATGGCTTCGCCACTTGTGATGGGAAGGAAGCACGGACAAGGGGATCATCCCTTAATGAAACTAAATACTCCTGCACCAAGCACACCCAAGGAGTGCTACAGAACATAGGTAAGCACACATCTTCATTTACGACTCATTGCAGTTACTTCAGGCAGCAAACAGGTTTGCTAAATGCCCACAGAATAGGCAGCCACCATGCTTCCTCCCAGGCTGCAAAGAATTCAGAGTATCTTTCAACTCCTTTCTTTACTTTGAGGGAGTTGCCAATTATTTTTGGCTAAACTGACAGCAGATGTCAAGGGAGCAAGCAAAAAGGCCAAGAGAAAACCACCGAGTGTAAAGGGGAACTGACTTCTGAAACAGGAGGTTATCACAGGGACAGCTCTATTTTCACCCTCTCCATACTCATCACCTACTCGTCTTGCGACGGCAGGTAGTAGTAGCAGGCTGCGGCCATTCAATACTTGTCCCTGCTCTTCTGGCAGCATCAAACTGATCAAAGAAGGGATCAGCAGCTCCAAGATGTGTTTATCATGACAGCCTCACTCAGGCTTTCTTTATTTTCAGCAGTTATGATAGCACTGACAGACTAAGTAATCTCTGTGTCCTTAGAACAAAGAGTTTGGACAACAGAGCGGTGTTTCTCCAACACCCTCCTCACCCCAACAGCCTTCCTCTCAAGTGGGAACTGAAGGGTGAGATGCAAGAGAGAAGGTGGGCAAAGCTATGACCCTCTCACGTCCTATCTTCACCAGTAAGGGTTTCACCTGAAATTACTACTAGGATTTAAGAGAGGTTCACGGGAACCCAGAGGGACTAAAATACTTCCCTTAAGTTTTCAAACCATCAGGATGCCAAGCTGCCTTGAGAGTATCACATGCCTTGTTTTGCAGGTGCTTCCCAAAACCTCAAATCACAGTTCTTTGGAGATGACTGAAGAGTTATAAAGACTTCACGTCTCCCTTATATGTACTTTAAAAGCCAAATACCACCTGCAATGCCCTGACAAGATGGTGAATAGTCAGTATTACATTCCTGTAATAGCTGTACATTGTAAAATTTCTTAATGGGTGCTACTCCAAGTTCCCAGCTTTCTGTAGGCTGAAAGGGGCTCTTGGAAAAAATACAGCTTTTTCTGTGGTGAAAAAAAAAAAAAAAAGCTCACCATTGCAAGAGGATTTAAAAGCTGAGATTTTAGGTTAGTTATTTAACATAATTTATCCTAGAATTTATAATTCACATTGACCAGAACAGCTTCAAAACAGATTTCAAACCAGATGGCTTACAGTCACCTTAGACACAGAGACACTACAGCTTTTTAAAGAAGTAACCATAAATATTAGTTTTCCTACATGCTCCAACTTTTATGTATGGCAAAGAGAGAGGTTCCCCTCTCTCATCTCTTGACTTAAATCAATACTAACAATTTAGAGTTTAGAGACACCTCTGCTCACTTGCAATGTCTCACTGTTCCAGCTAAAAAACTGCTCTTCTAATAACTGAGCTGCTATTTTTAATGTGCTATTCAAACTACAACACCAAGAAGTATTAGTGTGCTTTGTGCAGTTCTTTCCAGTAGCCAGAAAGCTGCTTCCCAGGCAGCACAGGTATCTCCAGCAAGAGGAAAGACCTGTCAGTTGTGAATGCTGGGCACGTTGTTCACACTCAGCACATCAGCTACATTAAAAAGCAGGAGAACAATATATTAAAAACATTAAACCTAAATTAGAAGTTTCCAAGAGGACTTTTTCAGAAGATGGACATGCAAATACTAAAGATGTTTCCTCCCACTTTCCTCGCCCCAATCTTTCTCCTATTTATTAAAAATGTTGCATAACCTAAAACTAAAATTATTTCCTTACTACCTAACATGGAAAGCCTGCAGGAGTTTAGTATAAGACAGAGGGTTAGACAAATTTCTCAAACTTGTCTTTCTTCCTCAAAGCACTTCTTCATACAAAGCAAGCAACAATTCTCCTTTGCAGCTATTCTCTTAAAAGGAAGTCAGTGCACACAAGGCTTAAAAGGAGATGCACAAAGTCTTGTGGTTACTGGCTCAAGTGATCTTAACAAGTATCTCAGCTGCCTGAAACTAGGCTTTGCTTTGCTCTGCTCTGCCTGCTCCAGAGCAAGGAGAAGGCTTGCACTCATCTACAGCAGCACAGGTACTTTATTCAAGGCTCCTCATAAAACCCAAAGCTCATAATGGTTTCCATTCTTGCTGAAAAGCAAGCTCATAAAACAAACCCAGAGCAGGAGCGGAAACCTTACGCAAGGGCTGCGCTTTGCCCTTTAAAGGTCAGGCAGAAGTTACGGTGTTTTGGAGGGTCAAGACAGCTCCACCAGGAACAGGAGGTTCCAATAAAAGAATAATTCCTCATGTATGTCAGCACCCTGCCTTTTGTGAAAGCACAGAGGGACTCTCATGTTTGAGCTTTTCCACTAATCTCCTTTTCTTCCAGGATCTCCCATCATTATGTCCTGCCCCTGGAAAAGTCACAGCAAGTCGGTCACCTGTACAGAACACAGCAGAAGCCTGGACCTGATTAGTGTCTCAGAAAATTTAGTATTTGTGAATAGCTACATAAACAGAAGCACCACCACCAACCTTACCCCAAACCAGATTTTGGTTTTAGAGACCCAGCAAGCACTTCTACCCTAATCCTCTCTGATTAAGAAGGTATTGCAGAAACATGATAAAGATCCAAAGATATTCACATGGATTGTGTTCTCCAAAAAACACAACTTTATTTTACTTCTACTCTTACTCAGTTTTATTCCAGGCTTTCTAGCTTGACTATTTTGCATTATTATTTACTACTTTCATAAGCTGTTTGTCATTCTTCTTAAGTAAATCCCTTTGCTCCTCATGCTTTCCACATATTTTTTCTTTCATGTATCATTTATTCACAAGTCTCAATTGGTAACTGACCTTTGTAAAAATCACTTGATCTACTGCTTGCCTTTTTCTGAGGAACTTCACTGCACTGTTGCCCAGACCCCAACACTGTCAAAGATTTTTGCAGATGGGATAACAATTTCATTTGAAATATGATCACATTTTGGGTAAATTAATACTGTTAGATGTTTGTTTTAAAAAAAAAAAGTTTGTCAAATCACACAGAATTAAAGAGAATTCATAAAGCACTACATAATTCTGCGGTCCCCCACTGCATTGCAGCACAAAAGACAAGGTTTTTTGTGTCAAGAAGCAATCTTGAACGTCATTTTTTAATGAATGTACTACATATTAGAAGATTAATTGAAAAAAGTAAAATCTCTGTTTCATTCCAAAGGCTTTTTTAAAGTACTATTGGAGAAGTCCTTACAGACTACTGCCCAGAAGGTTAAGTTTCAGAGAGCAAAGTTGGGGGTGTTACTGGTCAGACACCACCTTGGCTGCCAGGTACTCACCGAGTTGGGGTAGTTCAGATAGCAGATCTGACAAGGCATATCCTGGGCTGATGACCTTGTGTTCATCTGGCGCGTTCGAGACTTTTTACTTGGATTAATTACATGACACTCTGCAAAGAGCTTCTCCAGGTTGCCATCGAAGTACCTGCATCACACACACAAGAGAATGAAAATTCAACTACCTTCCCTCTAAGTCATTTTTCCAATTCTGTTTGGGAGTTCAATGGACAAAGTTGGTTTTAACACTTCAAAAAAGTCACACATCCACTACTTTTAAACTCTTCACTAACACAACACAGCCCTGACCACAGAGGTGAATATTGGACAACTACATAATTTCAGAGATTTGGGCTTGAATTGCATGCTCCTGAAAATTCAGGTACTTCAGATTTCTGAGTTGCATTTCAAGTACTTTGTGATTCTCTACAGTGATTTCTTTGCATTAAAGCTCCAGGACAGGAAATTGAAGTAAGAATATCTTACTTCACAATCCAGGCATCAGGACGCCTTCCTAAAGCACAGGTTTAATGCTCCCAGGTTGAATTCTTTTTTCAGCTTAAGCCTTCCATTATTCCCTAATATTCTAATCACTGAACGATTAAAGAGGAGGAAGGAAGCAACAATCAGTCACGGTTTGTGATTCAGCAGGTCCCTAGTTCATGCATTTCATGTTTTCCTCCGTGACCTCAGTTTACATTAAGCAAGCCCCAAAGATGTCTTGACTTCAATTTTGGTACTTCCTCCTCTGGTCTAAGGAGAAATGTCTCAGCAGGGTCACCAATCTCAAATTAAGGCAACTGCAGGACTGCATTTCACGCGCTTCAGGCCACCTCCTGCATGTGGGAACAACTGCTGCTGGATCAGGCATCTATCAGATCAAGACTCTGATCTCCAGTTAGGCCAGTCTCCAATTTCACATTAGACACTTTGCCCATGTCCAACGCCTGCAGTCCATCTCTTGGGACAAAATCCTAGCCATTTGAGTACCTTTGGTTCCCAGTCAACCCAAGATATTTTAACAATCTCCTAAAAAAAAATACAATTCCAGCTTCACAATGCTTACAAAGATTAGATATCTTATGGAAGGGAGGATGCAAAATTGGTTGAGGGGAGATGAAAGACCACTTTCCTTCTATTTCCTATTCCCTTAAGGAAAAAAATACTGGTTTGGGTTACAGTCTCAAAGAAAGCTTTTCAACTTGGTGAGGAGGATCAGTTTTGGAAGAATCATTAGTAGGCAGGTCAGCCTCTTCCCAGTATCAAGATACCATATATCTTTCTCCAGCCTGCAGCAGCTGCAAAAAACTAATTAAATCTAATAATTAACCAGCTAACCTTGCCTTCATGTACATCCAGTCACTCCTCTCCCCATCATCAGCAAGTTAAATCCAAATAAGGCACCTATCTAAGGGGGGAAAAACCAAAACCAAAAAACAAAACACATTTGACCATACTGCAGTCACATTTAAGACCAGTAAATTTACTCCCAGCAGACAACTGTCCCTGCACCTAAGCACATGGGTAAGACTGAAGTCAGTGTCTTTATAAGCTCATCACAAAACAGATCAAAAAAATCCTATTGTCTGCCAACAGATAGAAGAGAACCAAGACTTTCTGCTGGGGAAAGAAGTTACTAGGTGTGTCTCAAAAAAGTAGGACTAGGCCTGCTAGACAACATCTAACCAAAATGCCTCTGGCTAGATCATCTTATCCTGTAGTATTCCAAAAAAATCCCAAATCCATAGCAGTTCTCTTACAGCACTACCTACCAACAAGACTTGATTCACAGTTAAAAAGAGTTAACTACCAGCCAGTTCTTATATTTCTTGATGCAGTTCACATACTTTAGATCTTCATTTTCAAGACACTGAATTTTGAAGGTGTCTTGGTTTTGCTAGGATAGAGTTAATTTTCTTCTTAGTAGTTAGTATAGGTGTGTTTTGGTTTCAGTGTAAGATTTGTTATGAGAAGAACATTGATAAAGTACTAATGTTATCAGTTGCTGCTGGAGCTCAAGGCCACCGTGTTTGGCTGGTTCACACTTACATTAGGACTGGGAGGGAGAAGTGAAGTGAATAGCAAACCCCAAAATTGGCATTTGGATGTGCCAAGGAGATATTCCATATTATGTCATGTTTAGTATATTATCCGGGGCTGACTAGAAAGGGGGGTGACTCTCTCTCTGGTGTTCGCTCGGGCTCTCGCTCTTCC